GAAGCTGGAACTGTGCAGTGGAGCACTGGGTGTGGGTTTGGAAGGTCCACTGCTCATGGAGAGCCCAAAGCATTGCCTATGGCCATCAAGCTGGAGATGCCAGCTCCCCAGAAGCCATAGCATTGCTCTCCCTGCAAGGAAAATCCTTTCCTTCCCTCAGTTCATAGGAGGGCAGGAGCAGGTCTGTGCTGCCCTATGCACCAGGGTCACTGATCCCAGTAACAATTCCATCAGCCCCAGAGCTGAGCTGGTGCCTTTCCAAGCTGCAGGAGCACATGGCTACACTCCTGCCCCTGCTCTTCAAACTGGTTTGGCTTGTGGGAGTGTTGCATCATTGAAGAGGAGCGAGAGGACCCATCAGATGTGGCAGGAGTTGCTGATCATCCCCAGAAGGACCAGCATCAGAGGGCAGGATGATGCTCAGTCTCCCGAAGAGCCATGGGGAGACAGAGACTAACCCTAACAGTCCAGCTCAGGCAATTTCACAGCAGTGAGTTGAGCACAGAGGAGGCTTCAGCCCACCAGGGATCTACCTGGGATCCATCTACTGCCCATTCATGCTGTCAGCACCCAGGCTTTTTAGGCTAACACCATCCTCTGGTCTCCTTCCATCATCAAAGTACAGGACACAGCAACACCTCCCATCCCTGCCTGTAGCTCCCAGTGCATCACCTTAGGAACATCTCCAGAGTCATACCTCTATCAGTGGAGAGAGCAACTGCAGCTACAGGGCATGGAGGTGGTCTTGGGGGAAAGACTGACTCCACTTTGCATTGAAATAAAGCATGGATGTAGGGATATGATATGTAACAGGCACAAAGTGTGATGCAACAGCCATGAGCAGGGCACCTAGAGGCTCAAAGCAGCAAGGACCAGCCACCCTCCTGGCTGCATTATCCCACAGGATTACAAACACTGCCTCTCCATATCTTATCAGGGCAGTTCATTGCTTTTCCTCCTGAGTCATCACATGGGTCTGGCTCAGCTCCTCAGGGCAAACTCCTGCCCCGTGCACATGGGGCTTTTTTCATGCTCACACCATCCCTGAACAAGACCCCAGCACTGCCCCAGTGACCAGGAGCTGCTCAGGCAACAGCCAGGCTCTAACACAGTGGGTGAGGAGGCAAAATCCCACCAAGAAATACTCTTTACCCAGGCACAGTCAAACTGGGAATTCCCTGCCTGCTCCCAGACATCCTTCTGGAGGTGAGAAAAACAGCATCCAGCTCCAGCCAGACAAATCCCTGCAGGATATAGGACACTTCCCTCACAGCAATCATTATGGTTGATGATCCTCACAGATGGCTTTATCACACCCTGATCAGCATTTACTCTGCTCCCCAAAACAACATCCCTGCAACAGGGACATCCCCGCAACAGGGACATCCCCACACAAAGACCTAGGTTAAATCCAAAGAACTAAGAGCAAAACCCCCAAAAAAAAGTCTTTTTTATTTGAATAAAGGCAGTTGCATAGAGGTTTACAGGTGCTTTTCTAATTAGAAGGTGCTTTTACATTAAAAGCCAGAGCAAGAGTTTGCCATTTTAAGCCAAAGCAGGCAGCTTGCAACATCCCCCTGGCCTAGGAACCAGGATCCTCTGCCTATGTGTCCCCAACACGAAGTCAGGCACTTGTTCAGCTTCACTCATCAATCAACAGCAGTGTGATAAAGCTCGAGACACCCATGCTACAGACGTGCACTATGAGCATGTAGACTATGCAAGCAGGAAGGGTTTAACACCTCAAACAGTAGCACTGAGGCTCAGGACAATCCTTTGGCACCTCCAGGCACTCAGGACCAGTTTAAGGCTTCTGACAGAGGGTTTGTGTTTCATCTGAGGTTTGACTTCATTAAAGACCAGGCTGCAGTTTGTTAATACTCATCCTCGTCAGCCTCATCTTCTTCTCCATCTGCCGAGTCCCTTCCAACCTCCTCGTAATCCTTCTCGAGGGCAGCCAGGTCCTCCCTGGCCTCCGAGAACTCTCCCTCCTCCATGCCCTCCCCCACGTACCAGTGCACAAAGGCTCTCTTGGCATACATCAGGTCAAACTTGTGGTCCAGGCGGGCCCAGGCCTCGGCGATGGCCGTGGT